AAAATTCTTTTTTACAAAAAAAAAAAAAAAAAAAAAAAAAAAAAACACCAAAAAAAGCTATTCCTCATCATATCCAGTAATTCTCAGAGCTACTCCTTACACAAGCATGCTATTTTTAAACACTGCTGCTCCTGTTCTATGTCTTTTAGGGGATAATACTCGGGTTGTTATGAAATAATTGGCTACCATGTTTCTGAGTATTTATTTGAGACATGTTAAAATATTTTTTTGAATTGCTTTTGAAAACTGGAAGGAATTAATTGGGATCAAGGATATAAAATACCTAATTGTTTTTTTAATGACAGGTCTGATCTCCATCAATGAGGTTAAGGTTTCACAAAGGTTAATCCAATCTAACTGCTACCACCCGAAGGAGCAGTCTCACTGCTGCATGTTCCCACCATTTTCCTCAAACCAGCCTCTTGTGTCAATCTCATTATGAGCTAATTCAGCTCACTGAACTGGCAGAAAACTAATGTAACAAAAAAGGAGGTGCAGGGGAAGTAGTTTCAGTCAGCAGGAGAGCTGCTAAATTATCTCACTATTCCTCATCATATCCAGTAATTCTCAGAGCTACTCCTTACACAAGCATGCTATTTTTAAACACTGCTCCTGTTTGACTATGTCTTTTAGGGGATAATACTCGGGTTTTGTTATGAAATAATTGGCTACCATGTTTCTGAGTATTTATTTGAGACATGTTAAAATATTTATTTGAATTGCTTTTGAAAACTGGAAGGAATTAATTGGGATCAAGGATATAAAATACCTAATTGTTTTTTCAATGACAGGTCTGATCTCCATCAATGAGGTTAAGGTTTCACAAAGGTTAATCCAATCTAACTGCTACCACCCGAAGGAGCAGTCTCACTGCTGCATGTTCCCACCATTTTCCTCAAACCAGCCTCTTGTGTCAATCTCATTATGAGCTAATTCAGCTCACTGAACTGGCAGAAAACTAATGTAACAAAAAAGGAGGTGCAGGGGAAGTAGTTTCAGTCAGCAGGAGAGCTGCTAAATTATCTCAGACATTCTGTAAACCTCATCAACAGGAATGTAACTGCTGATGTCAATGAACTTGGTCTTCATTGAATAGAAGACCACCTTCTTGATATATACTTCCAAATTACAATTCAGGCTGCATGGTTACATTAAAAAACTAAAATCAATCAACTTACTGCGAGACAGATTCTCAAGGGCTTTTCCAAGTTTTTTGCTCTCTTGAAGAATATGATTTAGTTCATCAAAATCATGGTTCTCCGGTTTTGTCCTCCAATCCCATTTAGGATGCTCTATTGACCTTGGCACTAAATATACACAGATATATAGATGAAGTTTAGATTTGGCAGTTCAGACTCCTACAGTAGAAAAAAACCTGCACAATGAGGTTACAAGCTCAAGTACCTTGAGTGGAAATTACTTAACTATCCTCCTATTTTAACAGCTGGAAGTATTTTCTTTCTTCAGTGTGAAGTAAAAATTAAAACATCTATGAACAAATGCATACTTGGGATGATTCTTGTCACTGAATTAATTGGTAAACAGGAATAATTAATAGTAACAATTAAAAATAATAAAAATAACGCAATAACAGAAAAATGTAATAAAAATCTTGCATATGAAGGTACTTCATTTACATCAAAATAGAACTGTGTGTCCTAGGGGCCAATAAGGAAGAATGTCAAAATGAAAATGAGTAACTGGTACTTTTGGCTTTGCTAGTCATTTTATCAAAAAGAAAAAAGAAATATTTTAGATAAAGCTTTTAAAACATGTATATGCAATTTTTTTTAAAAAAACTCATCAAGTGTAGATAACAGTTCATAAAAACAGTGAAACAAAATATGTCTCTATTGTTCATGCTGTACAGCCTATAATCTTTATGCCAATACTTAAACAAACTCGATCTTTGGGAAGCACAGTCCCAAGCTTACAGTCTCCTATTCATTATCTATTACCAAAACCTTTGATTTAATTTTAAAATAACAGCTTCTCAACTGCTGATCTAACTTTACCTACAATGGCAGGGAAGAAGAGAAGGAGTTTCTGAGATACGTAGGACCCACAATAAACAGAGCTGCATCGACCAATGTGAACATTTTGAACAATTTGTAGAAATGAAAACAAAAATTGTGCTGTCTCTGGAACTGCAGTTTAACATGTTCTTTTTGCCAGTGTTCTGAACTAAGCGATCTGCTGCCTTCGCCACCAAATGCAATTGTTGGGTTGTCTCCAAACACAGCATTACCGTGCTGAGAACTGCACATGCTGGTGTGAAGGTGATGATGCCTAGTCCACATTCCCAACAGAAAGGACCAGTTGCATTTATCAATGGTTGCTAACTACTCATTTAAAAATAACTTCAAAAACAAAGCCTATAATGTCCAATATATCCTGGCCAGCTTTGAAATTTTTATTTACTACTTTGACAGCTGTCAACTAATTTATGCTTACAAACTTCATTGTCATTACATGCTAAGAAGGAAACTTGCAGACTCCTACAGATCATGCAAAAAAAGTGGTATCTTATCATCATTTGGAATTTCAGGGTGCTTTTATGATGGTATGGGGAAATTATGCTTAGACTTCGAGTTCTGGTAGCTATTACAAAATGTGCTAAATAACTGTTGCTACGGAAATTTGCCTTATTGCTGACTGCCCTCTGTATAAATATAGAATCTGCTCCCCTTTGGATCAGCTCCACAAGGGAAAGTTTAAGTTAAGTCAATAGCCGTCTTTTCCAGGTAAAGAAATGGGACAATGGTATGTTTAAGTCCTTCCGTCACAAAGAACGATTTCATCTCCCGTAGACAGAAACCAAGCCATCTTCAAACCGGACATCTATACAGAGTCTGACAACCCAGAGTATATTCTGATCTGTAACACCCACTCAGGAACCTGGGTAAGTATTACAGAAGTTAATACATTACACTGCAATTACAGACATTCTCAAAGACAGAAGACAAAGGGGACCTACAGAGTTAAGAGTAGGAGGAAAGAGACACAGGAAGCCTCAATAAGAAGGGAAGAGAGGGGCAAGCTGGAGTGTCAGAGTCCTGCTCTGCTTTGTGTTCAAAAAAGACAAGTCATGTATTTCCTTCTGAGGACAATGGAAATAATCAGCTATGGTGGTTCCCAGTGAATAGGTACAGGCCTTAAGGTATTAGGGTATGACTAGCCTCTACTCAGATGGACAGCTTATAATTTTTGTTCATACTTTTAAATGCCAATCATTTAATTTATAATTCCCTGATTTAGGAACCACTATGTTCATTAGAAGTTATCTAAATTTTTGTGTGACCAAAAAATGCCTCCATTCATAGACCCTAGCATAATTAATTTAAATAGCACAACTTCAGTATTTCTCATCCTTCTTATTTACAGAAAACAAAATGTTCCATCTAGTATTTTTTCTAAACTTTTACTAACTGTAAATATAAATATTTAGTGAACTAGAAAATAAATTCTATAATGAGGTCTATTTTCGCTCACCTTTGTTTTATATTGAGATCACATGTTCCTTTACTGCCTGCTTTTTCAGCCATCTCATCTTCTCCCTTCAGTGTACCAACGCTATATTCTACAGCATCACTCACTCTAGCCTACTAGCAGTTGGACAGACTTTTCTTTCTATGTTGTTACTGAACTCACCACACCACAGAAATCTCACAGTACCACCAAAATACAAACAGGCAATAATTTAATATAGTAAAACCATGTACAAAGATGACCAAACCTTAGAGCCTCCAGGTTGCAGAAAGTTTCAACAAGCTGGAATACGTTATCATGTCAATTTGAAACAAACCACATTTTTCAAAATACCAAAGGACAGAATTTTTGAGAAACCATACAATTTTGAAAAAAAAAATTTGTCATGGGACAGAAGCTGAATGAAACAAACATAAGTTCTGTTCAACAGCTGTGGAGTTTCCAGGATCAGCAACTGCCGAGTATATGGACCAACCTGCATCAGGAAAATGAGAGTATCAAGACTCTATCCTTGGAAAGCAGGGAAACTTGCTCAAGAGACAATGGTCTGGTCCCTAGTTTCAGAGAAATGTCCCACAAATACAGGAAGCTTGGACTGCATCTCACTAGATGGATGGTGGGAAACCAGTCAAAAACATGGTGGAAATCTGCTCTGCATGCTGGTATACTACAGTCTGTGTTTCAGTGAACCATTTTGTACTTCAATGAAAATGTATCAAAACAGATAGGCTGTCATGGAACACTTCTGAGTTTCAACAGAATTTGTTTCAACAATGAGTTTGGCTCATTCTATTGAACCAAAACTGAGGGGGGAAGTTAAGCAGAATTAGAACTGACTGAAATTTTTATTACTTCTAGAGAAGACATGGTTCTTTTTACTTACCTACTCTTCCAACTAATGAATGGATACTGAAACTAAAATCTACTTCATTACATCATGTGGCATGTGTCTCTCCTTTCAAGGTTAATTTTCTGCTTGCTTACAAATGTTTTTAAAATATAAACTTGTATCTTCCTAACTATAGGATCAACAAGCACTGGTCATTTTCAAATGGATGCCTTTGTGTGAAGCATGAAGAACTGCATAAAGACCATATGACCCTTCCTTGAGATCTTTTGAAATACATGATCTTCTTCTGTATGTATGAAGTCCATCATATAACATTGTCTTGCATATGTCACTACACACTTAGTAAAATGCTTTCATAATATTCTGACCTTCCTCTTTATTATACTCACTCATTCCTCAAAATCATCGTATCAGTAATTTTAAATCCCTCATCACATTACCTGCCTCAACCTCAACTCTGTTATTTGAGAGATTTATAAAACACTTTCTCTTTAAGTTATTTGCCTACAATTCAGAAGATTTATTACAACTATATCATAGCTTGTATAGAAATATTTAGGTTTTCCCTTTATGGAGCTGAGATTTCCCTATCTCATCTTAGAAGACTGCAAAGACATGTTTCCCAGTATTTCTGATTTTCTGGTGAAGCGCCCCCCCAACAAATGCACATCAGATTCTTTGCAGATGTGTTAGGAATTCTGTCACAAATCAGCAGACCTTTATTTTCTACTGGATGATGGTACAAGATCAGTACTGTTTTTGTTTACATATACATGTCTTTTCAAGACCTGATTTGCAGACAGAATTAGACCAGTTGCTCATTAAATCCTACATTTCATTAATACATTGTATGACCATCTTACATCTCAAAGAACAAAAATATGCGTTATTATTGAGCATAAAATTACTCATGTATTTAAATCTCGCAATAGCATTCAAATTAGAGTTCTTTGATAATACAGCCAAACTGGTTTACACAGTACCTGGATATTAAAAGGCTAAGAGAAGGATGGCGTACAGTCCTAGATTGACCAAGGGCAATCAGAAGTACACAACATTGTAATCGTAAATGGGATATGGTGAGAATAGTGAACTGAAGCAGAGTGAAAGGATGATCCATGAACTGATTTAATACAGAGGTGGTGAGAAGAGATCAAGCTACTCTGCCTAAAAGTAGCTAGCTGGGAAGCAAGAAGTCTGTTTCACAAACTATTTAGAAACTTCCAAAATCATCTAAGTATTTCATTAAATATATTTATATATACACAAACACACACACACTAGGAGCCCTAGCTTCAAGCCTCTTTCTTGCCAGACAACAGCAGCAGCTTCTGCTTAATTATGTTTTTGCACACACCAAACAAGTGGTCAGATCCCTTAGATACCAGGGTTTCTTGTTTGTGTTTGTTTCAGGTGCAACTGAGATCGTAACAGGCAGGAGGAGGGACTGGAGGAATCTTTCCAGTAAAAAAGCTGAATGCATAAGAAAGAGATATCTGCGCAGGAATAACATGCACACTGCAGTCAACATCAGCTCTGCTGAAGGAAAAAAATATTTCATAATTAAATAAATCAATTCTCCTGATGTTTCCAAAGATTCCTATGAAATGACAATTCTCAATCAATTCTGAATAAATTTACAAGTTCAGGATCATTTGAACAAGATAGTCTTAAGACAAAAGCTCTACAACAGACCATATTACAGCTGATGGACTACATTAAATTTTGGGTTTGTTTTGGCAGTTTTGGGGGGCTTTTTAGGTTGGTGGGTGTGGGGGGTTTGTTTGTTTGTTTTAAACACAAATCTGAGAGTAAATCTTTAGGTCTCAGCAGGCCCAAAACATTCTGTTTCTCAGATGAGTCCTTACTACACCTCTTTGGAAAAAAATGTACAATGACACCCAAAAATGTTTTGAGGTGCAAGCTGAAGGCACAAAACAAATGGAATATGCTGTGCACGTCTGGACAGAGTAATAAATGGCTTCTGAACATGCTTGCTTTTTGCTGATCTGAGTGGTTGAAGGGGCATACAGTACCCACTGATTTTGGCATAAACCCAGCAAAAAAAGGTCAAAAAACCATCAGTATTAATTTGGTGGCTGGCAGAAAATAAGAGAAGCAAGATATGGCAAAAAGGCATATGGCTGAAACCAGCCTCTGTGATCGCAATTAAAAAAAAAACGTAATTCAAACACACAAGGTATTTTCAAAAAGTTTCAGAGACAAATATTTGCAGGGGTAAGTCACAAAAATAATAGGAGGAATCAAGGTTTAAAACAGTGGTATGGACAAAAAAAAATAGGAAAGGGCTCAAACAGAAAAGCATGGAATCAGAGGACAATTAGGCTGGAAGGGACCTCTGGAAGTCTTCCAGTCCAACCTACTGCTCGAAACTGGTCCATTGAGGGCAGGTTGTTCAGACTATCCAGTTGAGTTTTGAGTATCTCCCAGAATGGAGATTTCACAGCCTCTCTGGACAACCTGTTCCAGTGTTTGACCACCCTCACAGTATAATTTTTGTTGCCTCTTGTCCTTTCACTACACACCTTCAAGAAGAATCTGGCTATGTCTTTGCTACCACCCTCCAGTGTAATAGTTGATGGTGACAATGAAATCTCCCCTTAACTTTCATTTCTTAAGGATGAACAAACCAATTTCCTTCAGCTTTTCCTTGTCCACCGCATGCTCTAGCCCTCTCATCATCTTCGTGGACCTCCACTGGACTGGCTCCAGTACACCATTGTCTATCATGATGTACTCCAGATGCCATCTCAATAGTGTGAAATAAACACTGCTGGCTATACTCTTGCTAATGCAGCCTAGTATGCAGCTCACCTTCAGCACTGCAAGAGCACACAGCCACAGCTGGTTCATATTCAAGTTCTTGTCCATCAGCACCCCAGGTCATTTTCTGCAAATCTACCTTCTAGCCATTCAGACCCCAGTTTGTACTATTACTCAGGGTTATACCATCCAAGATGCAGGATTTTGCATTTGCCTGTGTTGAACTTCATGAGGTTCCTCTCAGCCCACTCCTCAATCCTGCTGAGGTCCCTCTGAATAGCAGCCCTGCTACCCAGAATACCAACCACTTCCCACAACTTGGTCTCACCTGCAAACCTGCTAAGAGAACATTCTGCCTCATCATCCAGGACATTAAGAAAGACTTTTAAATGGTATTGGTCTCAGTACCAGTCCCTTACGCATGCCACTAGTGACAGGCTTTCCAACTGGACTTTGCATTGCCAGTCACAACCCCTTGAACCCAACAGTTGAGCCAACTTCCCACACATCTTGTTGTCCACTTATCCAGTCCGTATCTCACCAATTGAGTTATAAGGAAACTATGGGAGACTGTCAAAAGTTTTGCTAAAGTCAAGGTATTAAACATCCACTACTCTTTCTTTGATTACAGGGCCAGTTATTTCATCTAAGGGGGCAATCAGGTTGATCTGACCAGGTATGTATGATCTCATAAATCCACGCTTACTGTTCCCAATCACATTTTCCTCCTTCTTGTGGCTGGGAACACCTTCCAGGAAAATTTGCTCAATAACCTTCCCAGAAAGCAAGGTGAGGCTGATCAGACTGTAGTCCCCAAAGTCTCCTTTTCTTGCCCTTCCTCAAAATGACTGTGATGTTTGCCTTTTTCTAGTCATCAGGGCATCATGACCTTTCAGTGATGACCTTGCAATGACATTAGTCTCTCTCTCAGCATGCTCAGAATGAATCCCGTATAGTGCCATGTATTTATGTATGTCCAATTGCCTTAAGCACACCCTAATTCTATCTTCCTCTGTTGTGGGTAAAGCTGCACTCTCACAAACTCCGCTGCTAGACTTAGGGACTTGGGTAGCTTCAGAGCAAGCCTTACCAATTGAAGAGCATTATTAGATGCCCTTCAGTCCACAAGGACAGATCCTTGAGTCCAGTCTTATTATGGATGTATAAATTATTTCCTTGCTTGACATGTGACCTGGTAGTTAGAGTGCCCAGCCTCCTCTTTGTCCCTCTCCTGGGACAACCTAAGGACCAACAAGCATGAAACTTGTAGTAGGCATACAAATGAAGGGAGTGACATGATGTCACACCCCTCCCTGGGATAAAGACTGAGAACGTGAGATCTTTAGGAAATGGCATGGAAGTTACTCGATGCATATCACAGAGTCTGAAGTGCAAGCACTGGGAGGGAGGAGAAGAACACAGTATGATGACAGGAACAGCTCACAACACCCTTGGCCACTGTTTCTAACAGTGTATCTCCATAAATTGCTGTTATCCAGCAAAGACTGTTAGATTAGACTCAGATTATGAGTGGCTATGACCACCTCTCTGAATATCCCTATTTACTCTTGAAAGTGAATTAAAATCCACATGCTACTTTTGGACGGACTTAAAAATTCATGTGCCCGTAGAGAGGTACAGTGGAACCGATGATCAAATTTGAGTCTTTTTGAAGCAGGGAATGTGCTTCATGAAGAAGAAACAGAGACACATGCTCCATTTCCAGAAAAAGTAATCCATAAATCTTGCCAGGACAATACAGTCCTGAGAAAAGCTGTGCTATGGGACATAGCTACCTGTACAGCTATTTTTTACTTGTTAGTTATTTATTCCCAATCAATAAGGTTTCATAACCATACAAGACTATTAATTACCCAAAAGCACAGCATCTCTATTGCATAAATCTATCATGATTTACTTTAACCATTGCTGTGCTATATTTTGACCTACTGAGGCCATTGGGAGATTTTTCTTTGACTCCACTAAAGTCTAGACTTCCTCACCTTGCTTTTAGAGGAAAGACAGCAAGCCTTCTATTGCAGCATACTATATATCTCTGTTCTCATCTGGTCGCCTAATCACACTCTGAGTTATTAAAAAGATTTCGCTATTATAAAAAATTCAAAAAGCTAACATAGTCAACAGAAGAAAATATAATTTTGCAATTTATTTTGGAGAACAAATCTTGTATACACACTTGTGTGTGTATGTGTACCTATACATATATGTATGTATATTGTAGATATATTTATTTGTGTAAAAAATCCATTAAAAATCAAACTTAAAAATTAAATTTCTTCAATAGCCAGTACACAGGAAGCACTATATTTCATTAAGGCTTGCTGCCTCTATTTTTACTACTTGTCATATTGACAATTGTCCTTGACAATATTCTCTTCAGTCATTCTGTTTCTATTCTGCCTTTTCTTTCAGTGTACCTTTAGATTCCTTCAGCAACTCTCAGAGAAGTACACCTGTTCTGCTGACGCTGTCCCCATATCTTGAACAGTATCTGTTCATAATTCATAGTTTTGCATTGCCCGATCCACTGAAAAATATCTGGTTTTAGGACCAATATCAACAGAACAGATTTTACACATGCAAAATGGCAATGCAAACTAAAACATCAAATCATAATCGGTATCTGAATATAAAATTGTGCATGACACCCAGATATTCTTCTGTTTTTTTATCTATCTACCTAGAATTCTATTCTATCTATAGGTGACAACATAGGGTATTGTTAAATATTCATAATTCAAGTGAAAGTAAAGCAAGAATCAAACTCTTCTAACACATATATCGAGCTATTTCAACTGCTCATAATTTGCTTTCCATTTTAATCCTAATTCAACAGAAAAACATACTATGGGTTTGGAAGTATGCACAAATTAATAATGTAGTGAAGCTTTCTTACATGACTTGGACTCCGGTGACGGTGGAGAAATGTTGGACACGGCAAGGTCGCTCTTTGACTTTTTAGGCTTTTTTGCATTTACCTGCCAAGGTTTATCATAACTTCTAAAATCTCTCCTTGTTCCTTTATTTTCTGTTAAAAGAATTGAATCAGGCAATTTTAACATTTGTAGGGTCATTTTTCAAAGACTTAATAAACAATCCAGAAAAAACAAGACCTATCAGTCCAAACTGAAGTCAGCTCTTTTTGTTCTTCTGTTTCTGATTCATGCTAAATTTCATATATTTCTTCCATTTCCTAAACATCAAAATTCAGAAATTCATTAATATGTTTTTCATTAAAAACATAACATCTTATTTTTTGTTACTAAAAAGTCCTTAACCTACATTTATTCTCTTACATGTTTGACTGCCTATGCTTAAAACTTTACATTTGATATAAATAAAAAACTGATTTGTCAGGCAACTAACATTTTGACTATCAGCAACTACTTGAGATCTATTATAGTCTGAAACAGATCATCAGTCAATTTTTAAATACAAAACCAACATTATAATAGTTGCTTGTATCAAAATATCAAAGCTAAAATTTCTACTTTAGAATCAGAGCAGATATTATTTCAGAAATTTGTTTATGCTTCTGAAGATCTATAATTATAAATTTTTTACACTGGAGCTCATAAAGTACTAATAGCATCTTCTCATTAAGTGTTGGAAAATGGGTTGTTAAAAGTGTGTATTATTAAAGAAAATACCTCAATAGAGGCTAATCTCAGGCACAAATACACCACAGGAGGGAAAAGAAAATCAAAGCAAAGAGAAAGGGGAAAGCAAGGAGAAAGGGGAAAGCAAGGAGAAAGGGGAAAGCAAGGACAGCAGGGGAATCAAGGGACCTTTATATGCACCTTCTTTCTCATTGAGACTGGGATTGTTTCCACCCTGTAACTCTGACGCATACTCACATGATATGTACATAGGCTGAGCTGATAGCCAACAATATATATTAAATTCAGTATCTACTGGACAAACAGGACTTATTGTGCATGCTCAAAACCACAGAGTAGTACCTGTTCAGTAGGTACACATGCATCCAGGAAATCATGGATGAAAGTGGGGGAAGATTATACCGGAGACTAGCCCTTTCCAGCATACAGAACATACCTGATGTTTCACTCTCTGCCCAAAGGGCAGCAGAGCCAGACAACGTTCTCTGAAGCTGACTGCGGTTCCCCTGTTTGGACTGAAGATGATCAATTAGAAAAGGGATTGGCTGGTCAGGTGTCTCTGTTATCAGCTTGGTCATCAACTCCTTTAGAAAATTAAAACAAAACAAAAAATTAGTGGGATATTGCACCTAAACTAATCTTGTATTTACCAAAAGTAAAGGAGCATTTATAAAGGAAAAGCCTGTTTTCAACTTTGAAGAAAACAGCTGGAAACACCCATCTCCTCAAACTACTAGTAGCTTCGCCCTATGAAGTTCATGTCTGAAGTGCTCTTAGCCTATACAGTCAGTTATCCACTGGAATTCATGTTAAACAACCCAACTCCCGCTACCTGCTCAAATTTACCCAGAGCAATCTGAATACTGTTCATTTAACCATTCAGAACAAGAGTTCTGAATGCAGAATTTTTCAGAGCAGCAAGTCGCTCTTCTCTGACCCATACATCCAAGTTTCTTCTCATTGGAAATTGGTGTATCAGGAAGGTTGGTGCATTTTTGATCTCACCCAGAAATGGAACAACAATCTGGTTAGAATATGCAGTCATATCTGGGAACTCCAAGGTCTGATCAAACAGGCAGACATTTTTTAAAGCAAGTCCTCCAAAATATTATTGTATAGACATAAGCAAATATTTTATTACACTGTTGTAGACATGGATACAAACCCAATGTCAACAGGAAACCATCTCCTATGCCATGCATTGATACTATCTAGTTGCTGTTATACACCCTGGCCTTGCAGGACTGCAGAAAGAGAAGCACTCTCCATATTGCTGCTGAGGTTCTTCCTGCCTCCCTACACATAAAACACAGCTTAGGAATCCAGAAAGAAGCTGTGGCTCTGTGCTGAGCATGTGCCCTGAGAGGAAATCAATGGCTAATGTGGGAGGTCACCCTGAAATCCATAGTTCCACAGGAAATCTGTGGCTGTCACTGCAAAATGAAAAAGCTCCATGGAAGTAAAAAATTACAGGAATGTACAACAAAATCAGGACAAAAAACTGGCTTAAGTTATTAAGAGCATTTATTCTCTCTTCATCTATCCCCAAGCATAAACCTTACCATAACTTCCACACACTTAAGTCTATCTTCACTTCATCTTTTCCACACATGTTCAGTTAATGAATAATTTTTTAAATACCAGTAGTTACTTGATACTATGATCAGTTAGTTGTATTGGAAGAAGATACTTAAGAGGGAGTATACTAAATAACAGTAAACATGAGTAACAGCATGCAGGATTTTTAAGAGGCAGCAAGTTATCTTTGTCCACTCCAAGACTTTCCATTCTTTTTATTCAAGTAGTGGTATAAACAATGAGGTACAAGTGAAAATGAGACAGAAACAAGCTTTCCATTTCAGAAAGAGAAATTTAATTTCAGAAAACAAAAAGGAGAAAACATGCCCAATCTCATGTCTTATGAAGACATGATCATCTGTGACATGATTTTTGATAATTATCTAAAGGGAACCAAAAAAAAAAAAAAAGTGTCTTTGGTTTTGAAATGGAACTCCACAGGTAAAAATTAAGCTACTTAACTAATCTTAGAAATAGTAAAGCTATGGAGTGTAACTTCATCTAGACTGTCTCTCACCGATGTAGGAGAAACCCTCTGATATACATCATACAAGAAAAATCCAGAAATTGGAGTAATTCATATTTTGGTTGCTTGGCAACACTCTAACAGCAAACCTTTCTTTTTTTCCCTGCCAAAATGCAGAATTAGTGACAAGTGGAAAGATGTAATCTTGTGCTTGTAATGGACCACAATAGCAGTAGGAATTCCACCGCAGAGGATTCTATTACCAAAGGAAAAGTGTCGATCTGTAATAGCTGACTAAATAGCAATTTAAATCATTTCTCTGAATCATGGTTTGAAAATGATTTTTCGTCTTAGATTAATAAAAACAAGATGATGAGAACTGAGATACATGCACTGATACTATTAATTTTTTTAAGACATGCATGGGTGACAATCTGTTAATAATAAATTACAAAATTAATGTAGCATTAAAAAAGATAATACAGAGATGAAAAATTTTAAAATGCCTACGTGTCAATGTAAGACATGCTACTTGATTGTTGCCATCACTGACTTGCTTGTCACAGGAAGAAATGGTCTTTAATTAACAGAAACAGACCTAATAAAAAAAAACTGATTATAGGATTCTTTACCTTATTCTGAGACATAGTGATAAAACTGAAGAACATAATTGCACAAAGTACAAAAAAAAAAAATGTGCTATTCTGAGGTGATGTGAAATTAGCTCCTATTCAAAAGGACCACTTTTTTATCTACTGTTAACATATTCATAATAAGGCCTGACTGATATAGAGATCTGTGCTGTCCCAGAGCATAATCAGTTCTATTCTGCGACAGTAATTAGAAAAGTCAAAAGAACTATAGATAGAAGCTACTTTTATCTATCTGGAATAACAAATGAGTTGTACCAATCCTGTACACCTAAAGCAAAAAAGAAATAACATTGCTGGAATCCTCATAAACTGAAAATAGTATGCAGTTCCAAAAAACACTACTTATTTGTGTAATAAGCCTCAAACTGATTTGCCTCAACCACTTGCAGAGATGTCATTAAAAGTAAATACAACTTTAAGTCAATGCAAAGGTGACTCAGATTATGAGCCCTGCCATTTAAGGAAGACATAGCTCTTTACTGTGAGTACTCCGTTGCAAAAGGGGAGTGAAGAAGCTTGTAGGGATTTGCTTCTAAAGCAAGGTGTGAAAGTGGTCTCCAACTTACTACAGCAGGGTTCCCGAACTCTGCAGAATTTGCAAAGAACACCTCCACCCCAACCAGTGATAACAATAGCCATGATAATAGCTTCAGACATATGTTCTGTGTAAATCCACATTCACATGCAGGAGGTGTTATCTCTTTCCATATCCTCCTGCCACACACACTGTCAGAGATCCCAGAAGTAGGATCACAACTCCATGATCCTCACTGCCCTTGCCCTCCTACCAAATTCTGCCACCCAGTCCATCAAGGGACCTAACTCCATCCGTTCAGTCCCCAGCCCATGCTCTTCAAGCTCATGCTTCCTTTGAGACTCTTGTCATCCCCAGCAAATTGGCAATTACAAGGAAATGTGTTATCTGCCTGTGTTTAGTTGCTTGGCTATGCCATGGTGTAGAGGGGTGAGAGGGGGAAGAGAAACAAAACAAACCAACCAAACAAACAAAAAAAACCTCAACAAAAAAGGCAAAAAACTTCACACAGGCAATAACTACTTAGTGAGCACTCAAGGTCACTTTTTAAGTAAAAACACGTACTTCACTGAAGGTGAAAAGACATTACAGATTAGGAATGCCTGTTAGGAGCATTCTCATCTTAGCACCATTGCCTAGTAAAAGACAAACTATCTTAAACTTCTGATGAAACTATCCAAAGTTTATTTGATGCTCTCATCTGTTGCTCAGATGACCAGACAGCAGGAATAACATACTACATACTACTCTAAATATACTCACACAATTTTGAAGTTGTTCAAAAAAAGATGACAAAAGTGAAGGTATTAAATAAGAAAAACTAAAGTGTACAACAAGTTACAAAAATAAAATTCTTTTTTGGTTAGCAGCAGTCTGATCTGACTCACAATGTGCTAAGTAGGCAAGGTTTCACAAGAAAAAGAAAAGGAAAAAGACCAACTAGTCTCAATGAAGCCGCCTCTGCATTAACAGCAGAATAAAAATGGCACAAGAACATTGAAACTGAGATTCACTTCTTGATGAAAAATTCAACAGATAAGTTTCAACTATGCATGAAAACAGAAATGCAAGGCATTTATATGTCTCTTAAAATTATTAATTACACTTTTCGCCTTTCTAGCTCTAATTTCTACGTTTCCTACTTGTTCCCAATTTAACCTACTTCAAATAAGAAAAATAAAAAATTTTGTCTACCTTTATAACATATTCTTCTGTGCACAGCATGCCTTATAACAACAAATAAGTCATGGAGGATTGGGTCTCCATGCTGCCAACTGTTCACTATACATAATCTCTCTCCTCCTATCTTCTTTCCACTGCTATGTCTTCCTTTCACACTATGTCCTTTTGTCTTTTCTATCAGTGGACCTCCCCTCAGTCCCTCCCTTCCAGCTGTGTAACAAGTGAAGAAGCCTGTTCAGATGTCAGTAGCTATTAATTCCCTGTGCACCCACGAGAGACACTGCAGCACAGAAAAGGAGTGAAAGGAAACTTCCATGACTACTACAGACCAGAGCACTAGGGTGAATACATTCATTTCTGTTGCTTCCCCACTGTATTGCCCCAAATTAGGTTCTGCCCTGACCAGAATGAGAAAGAACAGGCAGAAAAGTAATATAAGCTCCAGAAAAACTGGCAGTTAACTTCTCCAAGGATTTTACCTTGCGCTGTGCAAACCAGAAATGAAACCAGTTATTTCTACTTTCTTCTGTAATGGTATCTTCATATGCTTTTACATTCACTAGGTTTTATTAAACTATGTAAGATAGACTGTTTTAAAAGAAACTTGCAAAAGTTGATCCGTGGATATTTCCAAGAGAGAGATTCATGCACATATTGATAAGGCTGCAAAAGAACTTGAAAAAACAGGTCTAAACTAGCGACTTAATATATTAATTCTTTATAAAGAGAATAATCTTTCACTATTGTGCTATTAGTTATTCAATGCAGGCTCAAATTTTAATTTCCTTGTGACTGTCCATGAATTTAATACAAATGAAACAGTCTTCACAGTCTATTAATCATAGGCCCAATTACAAGAAAGCTCTAATTAGCTATGTCTAAATGTACCTATCAGATTATTAAGTTAATTAAGAGACATTCTATCTTGCCCTGTAATTGATAACAGTAACTACACAACAACCACAGGTTTTGTTTTTAACTATATAGACTTCTACAGACTATGGCAGAGCGTGCACAGATTTTGGCTGTATCATGCTCTCATTTCATGGTTTAAATTAGATGTTTAAAGTAGGTAGAGTGAATTGCCCTCAGAAAATGTCTGTGTCTTTCTCCTGACCAAACAAAGAGACTAGGTGGCTTAGCTTAAACTACAAGGTTTTGATG